ATAAACTTACCTATAGGGAGCGATATAGTTAGAGTCACCTAGAGACATATAGTTACTTTCAGAATGCAGAATGTGCTTCATCATTGAGCTAACCAAGTTTGATTGAAATATTATTATTCATGTACCTATTAGGTATTTAATAACAATATCACTATATGTGTTTTACTTCGCTTTTCGCTATACGGCCGGCACCTCTTTATTGAACGCAGTAATATCTAACAAGTCTCAAAAATTAAAAGTACGGTAGATACATTGTACATAATGAAATTTACATTAATATATATTTAAAAATAAAAATCAATAATTAGAATTACTAGGTCATGTAGTTAGATAAAATATAATAATATATATACAACTATATATTTAGTAAAATATTATAAATATGTAGATGTAGTGATGTAGAAGGAGAAGATTTCAAGTCATTATTCGTACGTTATTCATCAATAAACGATGGCAGCAGAGGAGTAGTATTGTGCAAACAGATTCTCCTCTGCTGTCAGTTCTAACCAGGAAAAAAAGTACATTTAATAATTATTGAATTGCAATAAAAACAAAATGTTCAAGTTTTTTTGTATGTGAAGTAGAACAGAACATAATATAATGATTAAAGTTTTAAATTTCTATGATTACGACAAAACAGTACCACKATATAGCTTTATGTCATCTATGAACACGGTATATTTTTAAAAACTCTAAGAATTTATAAATATTAAACTATTTATAATTATTTACTATATAATAATACCTATGGCAAAATGAAATTTAATATGTTCTGTTCGAGTAAATGAATAATTTCATAAAAATCAGTGTACCTACTACCTATAGAAGTTCGGAGCGGAGAAAATAGTACATTACTAACTTACGTCCAATCATAATTTAATCACATTTTTTATTTAGAACTAGATAGGATTTGAACTATGGAGGTAGCTATATGATGGTGAAAGTTCCCTTCATGTATCCATTCATCACGGATCTCGGTCAGCCACTCGTCACTCAATTATATGATTAAAATTATATACACAAAATATATGGGCATAGCTCTAACCATAATATATTATCTAAGAGGCAGTGGCACTGAAATCATAATAATGTAGTAGGATAAAAATAAGAGTCATTCTAAGAGGTCAACAATATAGAGATGTACTTGATAAGCGAACACTTAAATCGGAAACTATCCAAGGATCTCTTTATTCTGCAAAATGTCCCAGTTAACCATCCGTTTGTCACGCGTTACCTAAATACTATTTATATTTTTCAACGATCATTCAGATTGAGACTTATTAAACCCAGTAGTGTAGTCAGCCTTCCTGGAGGGATGTTGGATTTATATAGTACTGTATACACTATACAGTAGGTATACACTTTCCCCCTCATCAAATCCTAACCCTGGCTACGGCACTGCCTTCCCCGCATGACAAGCAAATGGTTAAGTAAGTCATAAGAAGGTTAGGTTAGGTACCTATAGATAGACTTAGGTTAGTTGAAGCTATGGTGATGATAGTAGACTATCATTACAGGTCGTGACCATTGCAAAAATCTTTTCCTACTAACTATCAAGGTATTCGACATTGTCAACATAAAAAAAAGAAAGAAAATATTTAAAAATTGTCAAGGAAAATATTAATTCTTAACTTAATATATTAATAAATAATAAATACTTACTATTGAAAACTTAACAATACTAATAATAGATTAATTTTACAGTAATTTTTAACATGGTTTTAAAGYGATATAAAGTTATATACCAGTTTTGTATATAACCAAACTATTGTCAATCATAACAAATAATTTAACTAAACCTTAATAACTATGTGCCCTCTGAATGGCCATCCTATTCTTAGCATGATCTAAATATTTATACACATTATTGTATTTAATAGTCTTGAGATTATATACTGCAGTCTTCAGTATGTATACCAAATGTATAATTTTTTCTAAATTTTTTTGGTTCTTAAAACATACTTGCCCGCGGGCGCCAAACCTCCCTTTCTCATTTTTTTTTTCATAATTTAATTCTAGTTAATATTTGTATTCACAGTTTTTTAACTTTAATAACCATATATGTCTTCAAAATAATTGTTCTATACCGGGATTTTATTATTCTTTATAGGTTATTTAAATTTAATTTTGAGATTTCATTCTTCAGTGTTTATTCTTAATCTAAAATTTTTTCATTTTTTTTTGTGTCTTAAAACATACTTGCCCGCGGGCGCCAAACCTCCCCTTCTCATTTTTTTTTTCATAATTTAATTAATTTTAATTTTTGTATTTTCAGTTTTTTGACATTAATAACAATGTGTGTCTTCAAATAATTTTTCTATTTCGGGATTTTAGTATTCTTTATAGGTTATTTAAATTTAATTTTGAGATTTCATACATCAGTCATTATTCTTAATCTAACATTTTATATTTAATTTTATTGAAATCTTATTCAGATATTTTGTATCAAATTGTTTTATTCCTTACCTTGGAGGGAACCAGTGAACTAAATTCAACGGCAAAAATTTGTAATTTATCACTTGGAGATTTCACASACTCATCCAATCAATCATTTTCCATTTTCAATATGTTAAGTTTAAAATTTTAAAATTTTAAAATATATATTTATATAAAAGTCTTTCTGATTTCGTGATTAGCAGATTCGGATTATAGGGGGTAGGGGGTCGTCTGCCAGCGGATGCAAGATTTTAAAGACGCAATGTTTTGAAATAATATATCTACCAATATACCACATGCAGAGTGAAAAACTGAAAAACTTCTAGCGATGATACTCGGCGCGCGAACTCACACATGGGTATCCACAAATTTACATACATCTGAATGACAAGTCACAGTGTTCATGCTATAATAATAATTATTAAACAATTATATTACAATATAAATAACTAGGTCTGGGATTTGGATGCAAAGGTTTAATTTGTCCGTAAGTATAAAATGTAATTTGGGTGATTCTGATTATTTTTAAGTAATTATTTGTTTGTATTTTTTGACATAATTAACACTAAATACATATTAAGGGCATTTTTTTTCTGTTTTAGTACATTTTCTTAGTTTTTAGAGCATTTTTTAAAATTAATTTATTCTTAAAATAACCGAATGTTGTTGACATTGTTGTGATTAACAAGAGACTTTTGACAAACTGCCAACGGTACAAATAATGATGATTATATAGCTCGACAAGTTATTGTTGATGACAATTTTTTTTATAGATTGGCCTTCCCGCTTAAATGATCACTGTTATAACTTATAGTTATAATATACCTCTTATATAATGAATTTTATTACACCATACATACATTATACATTAAAAAAAATACTCTTTACCGTTGTATCATTTTTATATTTTTTTTTCAATGTTCATAAGCTATAATAACTTAAATGCATTTTTATAATGCATTTTTTGAATTTTTTCATTTTTAAAGAGTATTTTTTGAGATTTTTTAAGGTATCAAAATCCCAGCCCTAAAAATAATATTTTCACCAACAAATACAAGCGATTAACGCGTAGAAATCGTACGTATCTCGACYGCTTCAAAATATTTTGTGGCGCATGCAGACCATAATGTTTTTTACCTACTATTTAAAAAAAAATGAATTTAATTTATTATTCTTTATATTGAAATAGCGGGTAAGTGGATGCCACTCTGTTGTACAGTAGGTTGCTAGTTAGTAATGGTATTAAATTTGAATTCAATGATAAATATCATTGWGTACGAAAAATGATTCTAAACGGAGACYGCAGTCAGTATAGGTCAGCCGCGGTCCTCACTGCGCGGCACTTTAACACATTTAATGTGGCCCGTACTAAAATTAAATTGTACATTCTAAAATCTAAAATCCCAAGTCCAAGAAAAATATTTGTGCCATTCATGAACTTTAAAAAAAAATGTTGATAGTTATTATCATTAAAATTGTAAAATGAAATAGGTATATTATTATTGAATTGGTTTTTTTTCAATCAAGCCAACCAGCCAGAGAGCTTCTCTTAAGTATGCCTCCAGCTATTTTGCTTATTGTAAAAATATTTTTAAAAGATTGTACAAATTAAAACAAGTATGATAAAAAAAAATAAATTAAAAACATATAAGCGGCCTGCAAGTAATATTCAAAGATTACATTTCGCCCTAAATCCTAGTGAGGACCGCTGGCCTAGTTCGTCTAGGATATGTTATACTATATTATTTATATTGTTATTATTTCAAAAAAAACCCTAAAAAATAAATTCCAAATTAATCAAATCAGATTCATTATTTACCCATCTCACTCAGACATTTATACTATATGCAATATACAATTTATTATAAAATATTAATTTAAGCCATTTATACGATATTAATTATTAAAATTAGAATATAAAGTATATTCTAGAAATTTCAAGTACCCACAATTACGTTTGTTACCTGCAATTTTACCATATTTTACACAATAACTTTATATGGTTTAAATAAATTGATTATGATAATTTAATATAATACCATTATTGTCTATCAGCACTAATATAATAATTACCTAAATTTAAAATCTAAAATTATTCTTCCCTATAATAAGTGTAAAAATAGTATAGGCAGCAATACAAAAATTTAAACGATTAAATATGATAATTGTGTAATGATTAATGAACTAATGAGTAATGACACTAATGAGACAATTTTTCATCGCGTGATGATAGTTCTTCTCTCCAATATTAAAGATTTTGACTAGGTATATTATATAGTTGAATATTAAAAGTTAAATAACTTTGAAAACAAAATATTTTCTCTAGAAGAAAAAAAATCACCTCACTTTTCTATCAGACTCGGAACACTGATAAAAATAAATGCTGACAGCCATTTCTTTATTATCTATAGATTTACCTATCAGCTGCTGTATAATCTGTTCTATGGTATAATCGAATTTATTGTTATCATTTTTAGATATTTCTATTTTGGTGTTTGGATTAATGGAATAAAGTATAAATAATACCAARGAGGCAAGGAACTAAAATAATATTAAAATACAAATTATATTACTATATTATACACTTACTAGTTAGTAGTTACCAGCAATTTTTAATTGATGAAAATAAAACCAAAACGTTTTGGGTACTATATCAGCAATATCTATATTAAACATTTAAAAACAATAACCCTCGTACATTTTATTGTTCAAAATTGCCTGAGTCAGATATTATGTTCGGAATACTGCGCAACGCCGAAACGCTGTCAGTTATATTTTCATTTTTTAACATAGGAATGGTTACAGCTTAGCTGAGTTCGAAAAGTAAATCGATAATGATATTACCTACTTATATAATTAGTTAACCGTTTTAATGTATTAGGTACACTTCCGTGAATCTATATATTCTATCTGTATATGAGGTTCTTTTCATTTTTAACCTACTTATTTCAGATTTACCATGTATTTGGATACAGATGATTTAGTGACGTCCAGTTTAATTGCATTTCTAATCGCTATTGTAGTGTTTGTCTTTAGTATTAAAGCATTCAGATGGTTGTCTTCTGAAAATGATGTGGCTGACAAAGGTTTATCATCTCATGTGTGGGTTGAAAAACCAACTTACATATTAAGTGTAAGTATTAAACAAGTAGTCTTGGTACATTCAATGTTTTAAAAAAAAAATTTCTATTTATTATTATTTATAGGATCCAAATGCCTGTACCGTTTGTGAAACATTAACACATGGATCTAAAGTTCGATATTGTGATAATTGTGAGATTTTTGTTGACATAGGCTGTGTAAAAAAAGCTAACAAACGAATATGTTGTAAGATTTTAAGTACCAATAGACCATCTAAGACTTTCATACACCACTGGAACAAATGTAATAAATCAATTTATCATAATTATTGTTTAAATTTCCTTGAGGTATTATTAATTATTATAATTATTTTTTTTTGTAGCTCTGTCAATTGATGTTACATGTTGTGTTTGTTCCTCAGATGATGACACTGATAGTATTCTTGGACATTTTTTCCAATGTTTATGGTGTAGGAGATTTTTACATGCAAATTGTATAACTCAATTTAATCAGGTATCAGTCACTCCTTTAAGACTTTAAATGTTTATAATTATCAAACTGAAAGTAAAAGTAAAATAGTTAATTTATATTTATTTAATCATTGTTAGATGTATGATATATTTATAATTAAAAAAATATAACTAAAACCATACATTTCTATAAGATATCCGAATTAAAAAAGTTATTGAAATATTAATCAATAATTACTGCTGCTTTTATATTTCTTGACAGCCATGGTTTTTTGTTATAATTTGTTTCAGAAATGTGATTTTGGAATATATCGTAAATATATTATACCACCATTTTGTATAAAAACAAATAGTCAATTAAAAAATATATCCAAGCAAACAATTGAAAAAGTTATTCACCCTGGTTGGGATACGTGGACACCATTAATCATATTGGGTAAGCATTTATAAAATGTTATCAAATCAAATTTCCAAATATGTTTAATGTAATACTTTAGCAAACAAGAAGTCTGGTAATAATGATGGAGCACTAATAATTTCACGTTTTCGGCGTCTACTAAATCCTATTCAGGTGTATGATGTTATTGACTGTCCTCCAGAAAAAGCTTTAAATTGGTTAAAAACCGCACAACTTGAATGTGTTTATATATTGGTGGCTGGTGGTGATGGTACAGTAGCTGGTGTATTAAACAGCATTCATAATTTACAATTAAAAGTAATTATTAATCCACTATTGTTATCAATGATAAAAATTTTAATAGTAAAATGAAAATTTTCAGATGGATCCTGCCGTAGGTATTATACCACTTGGTACAGGCAATGACTTGTCTAGGGTGTTGGGATGGGGAACTTCATATTCTGATTCTGATTGTTCTGGAATAATGAATGCTTTTGATAATATTTCAGTTGTTAAATTAGATAGGTTAATTCAATTTTTTTATTTTGTTATAGGAAGAAAATTAACCTAAATAATAATACTCATTATTTTTTACTATACAGATGGAAAGTGAACATTTTGTCAAATGTGTTGAAGAAGATAAAAATAACAAACACTATCACAATGTATAATTATTTAGGAATTGGTTTGGACGCTCAAATAACATTGGATTTTCATCGTACTAGAAAGTCACCATTATATTTATTTAATAGTACACTGTTGAATAAGATCATATATGTAGGTTGTGGTACACAACAATTTTTAGAACATCAGTGTAAAGGACTTCCTGATATGATTGAGTTGTATATGGATGACAAAAAAATAGTTTTACCAGATATAGAATCCATTGTAATTGTGAATATTGAATCTTGGGGTGCTGGTGTAAATTTATGGAAATTAGGAGCTAACGATGGTAATGAGTTTGGCGCACAATTTATGGATGATGGATTGTTAGAAGTACTTGGTATACGATCTTCTGTACATATTGCGCAGCTAAAAATGGGAATTGCTGAACCTATAAGAATTGGTCAAGCATCTGTAATCAGAGTAAGTTACACGTTTATTTTTATGCAATCAATACATTTTTGGTACTTGCTTATAATAATTTTACAATGACAGGTAAAATTATTGCAAAAATTACCAGTTCAGGTTGATGGTGAACCTTGGCTTCAACCAAAATGTGAATTGGTGCTTAAGCGAAGTAATCAAGCTACAGTTTTGAAGTTGTCAAATGTAATTTAACAGTACAATTATTATGATTACCTATTACTATTATTATTTCTCATACCGTCCATTGATTTTGGGAAGGCTTTTAAAAACATTGCTGCCTTACATAATAGTATCTACACATTTTACTTACAACAATAGTTATTATTTAATATTTAAAGTTACTTATAATTATATAGGTATATTCATGTCTGATTCCCATATAATTTAATATTTGGACTTAGCTAAAACTTATATCAACTGTTATTTAATTTGGGTACCAAATATGCAAATATTTATTTTATTATTCACTATTATTTTTGCAGTAATTTAGAAACAACTGACATTTTCATTTAATTGTTAAAATTTTAAAATTATAAACATTATTTTCTTGTAGACTAAAATACTGAATTAGTTCTATTTAATTTATTATGAAATAAAACCATTTTTAAGGATTACACAAATTTTTATTAAAATTAAATCTATTTACAAAAATGTGGTGTAAAATCTCTGATAACCCAAATATAAAAATACATTAATATTGCTTGTTATTACATTGTGTTTATCTATTTAATTTATATTAATAACAATATAATTTTTAATACTAAATATCACATAGTACATTCCTATATTTAAAAAAATCCATTGAGTATAGAATACCTACTTTTTTAAATATTTTACTGCTGTTTATTATTAAGTCAATGCATTTTGATCTGATGTAAAAATAGAATATTTAAAAAAAAAAATGATAATAAATAAACTTGTTTATATTCACATAACAGTTGCTGATAAAATCTATACCATTATTATATAAATTATTTAATATGTATATTATTAATGATTAAAAACTGTAAATGTATTTGAATGTAGTGTAATTATATCTAAAATTTTACATGGAAGTAGGAACTATTTAACTTTTTTTTATTGTTACTGATTAGATTATTTAATAGAATTTATTACATCATTATATGAGTGTTATAAAATAAAATAAATTGTGTAAAATAATGAATTCACCTTCATATCAAGAATAAGGTTATTTTATTATTTGTTTATTAAAAAAAAGATCTAATTGTTATAAAATTATGTTCTACTTTTAATTCTTTGTGATCTGTGATTATTACTAATGGTTAATGAATTTTTACTGTTGTTATTGTGTGTTTGCTTGCTTATATTAAACATGTTTTTAAATAAAAAGACAAGTTATTGTTGGTTGATATTTATTAACAATATATTAAATTAATTTAATTCAAATAGTGTGGATTGATTCATGTCACATTACAACAGCTCATAAAATGTTTAAATATCTAATGGTTTTATCTGACATTGCCTGAATTTAATGTTAACTTAAGACCATTGTCGGCTAATTTGTATAGATAAGATACGTCATCTATATGGTTCAATGATCCATGTGAAGTAATCCTCATAGTGCCTGTTGCAGTGTTAGAAAACCCTGTGACTAATGGTGCCAGTGCTATACTGATGTCAGCCAGATGCGACACAGCAGCTGCTAACCTCTTAGCTGCTTCATCAGCCTTATGTTTCCAACAACCAAGGACTAAGCAAAGGCGAGGTTGTTGCTTGACAAATATCAGAAATCCAACAATGTCTTCAAGCCTCTCACCCAACAACAAAAGTGAGCTGGCGTCATCGACTACCATGTAGACAGAACCGGTGGGATATCTTTCTAGCAGCTCTCGCGCACAACCAGCCAGACCATCAATGGACATGATAGACTCAACAAATGAAAATCGTTTTTGATTGGACATAGACAGCAGGTTGTAATGGAACTTCAGGCCTATGTTCTGGTAGTGACCGTACGTGTCTCGGAGACCAACCATACACACAGGTAGATCAGTCTTCGTGAATACATACCACATGTAAAACGATGAGATCATGTCCCCTTTAGCGGTGTCGGTCTCCTCGACGCACACAATCTGCCGGTCCGACATGTCGGGCCTGAGCACCAGCTGCAATTGCTCCAAAACGTCAACGTTGGACATCACTTCGGCGATTAAAGTACGTCGTGGACAGTGGTAGACAGACGCCAGACAGCTAGTAGCTAAGCCCCTAAGCCTAAATAATAGCCGACGAATAAGTCACAATTCTCGTTTAAACTTTGTTTCCCGCTATCAGGAATCAGGATATATAAATGTATAATAATAATAATAATAATAACACGAGCTTAGATTCACATTACTATATTACTATATGGTCTAGAAACAGCGCCTATTATCAGTACCACACTATCAGCAGTTCGTTTATCACAAACCMATAATAACTTTTATATAAATATATTTTTTTTTATTTTTTTATCATACAGGGTGATTCTTTTATCAAACAACACTCATTATTTCAAAAACTAKTGACTTTTTTCAAAATTTTAGAACCATCTTGTTCTAGAACTATATATTTTTAAATATTTTCACCCTTATATTTATCAGGTTAACCATTATCAACTTTTGAATTTCAAATGACAACCTATATTTAAAATTTCATAAACTAAAAAGGCTATTTTTTTCAATGAATTTTCACGTTTAAATTTTCATTTTTCGTTAATCCGTTTACAAGATATAGCCTGTAGCCTCCCAAAGTTGGGTGGTTTTGGGTGGTGTTTGTGTGTCTTACGTGTATGTTAGGTAGTATATTTACACACAAACATCATATTATAAGTGTTGTTTGATAAAAGAATCACTCTGTATAATTTTTATACCTATTTGTGTACTTATGATACAATTGAAAATGGAAAAATTCTTGGGAGGAATTTAATCATTGAAAAGTAAAAAATAATTCCTACTTTTAATAATATTAAAAATCATTTGTTT